TTTCCAGGACCCATCAGCTCCAAATCAAGTTGTTGTCCTTCAGTCTTAGTTGTGGAGGGTGCAGCTCAGCTCCAAGTCCAGTCGCTGTTTTCAGTACCATGTGGGAGTCGAACTGGCAATCTTGTTGTTAGAGCATGTGCTCTAACCAACTGAGCCATCTGGCTGCCTGTTGGCAGCTTGCTGCTGCTCATCTCAAGGTGCCATGTTCAATCTTAGTTGCGGGGGGACACAGCCCACCATCCCATCCCATGCGGGAGTTGAACCGGCAACCTTGTTGGTAAGAGCATGTGCTCTCACCAGCTCAGCCACCTGGCCGCCCATTGGCAGCTCAGCGGCAGCTTAGCTCGGGTGCAGCTCACTGGCCCATACGGGAATCGAACTGGCAACCCTGTTGCTCAGAGCTCATGCTCTAACCAACTGAGCCACCCAGCCAGCCCCACGACTATTTTTTTATGTTTTATTTTCTCTTTTAAAAATTAGTTTTTATTTTTCAATTACAATTAACACTGAATATTATTTTATATTAATTTCAGGTGTACAGCATAGTGGTTAGACATATATATAATTTACAAAGTGATCTCCCCCCAATAAGTCTAGTACCCACCTGGCACCATATGTAGTTATTCTTTAAGGTGTCTGTGAATATGCAATGAGATTATGATCAGATTTTGCCTTTTGTAAATGCATTAGCAAAAGTTACCAGGGAAACTTCAGGATTTAATCTCCTGACCTGGGTTGCCATAGTACCACAATATGTTAAAAGCAGGTTTGGGGTAGCATAAGGGGGCAGGATAAAGTAGACAACAGGCAAGGAGTCAAACCTTACAGTCAGAGAGATAAAAAAAAAGGTAGAGTGGGTCTAAACCCTCTGTTTAAGGAAGATGGTATCCAGGCTATTGCAGCAGCCTACAGTTGTGACTCTGAGGCAGAGCGGCATCACCCTGTACTTCTCCATTTCCCACCCCTAAAGGAGACCTTTGGACTTTGTTGCTTCTCACTTTTGTGGGAAGAGGAGAAGGGGGATGCGGAGAGAAGAAAAGAAAAGCACAGCCAACCTCTTCTGCTCCCCACTGTGGGGAGGGCCGAAGTTAGTTCTAGCTGGATCTCTGGAAGCACCAGCCTGCAGGCAGGGAAGGAGCTGCCACCAACCGCCCAGAGGTTAACTGGGCAGAGCCCAGAAGGTTGAGATTCCGAGGCCTAACACCTGGTCTCAGAAGAGGATGGGTTCCTGGGCACACATGGGAAGGGTGGTGGAGCTGTGGCTTGTGTCAGTGATACCGTGAAATCCACCTACCAAGCAAGCTCTCCTTCTGCGAGTGTGTGCACTGTGTGATCAGATGAGCTTTTCTGCACTGAGCTGTGGGCAAATCTTCTAGGGAGCCATTCTGCTAAAAATATAACCTGGGGGCAGGTGGTATCAGAACTCATCAGGTGAGAATGACCCTGTGGACCATGCAGTTAGAGACAGGCCTGCCCAGGTGCTAGACAGAAGATGGATGGAGAGGAAAGGTGGGCTTTCCTGAGCACCGTCACACAAGCCAGAGAAGACCCTTTCTGACAGGTCTGGTGGGTTACGAGAAGGACTTCTTGAAGGTGAATTGGGGAGTGACTGGACAAAGAACTACTTCTTAGATCTTTTTACTTGGGTTTGCTGGTGGGGTCGGAGAAGTCAGGTGCTGTCAGCCATGTTCTTGCTGCCCTCCATATTCAGCAAAGTCCTCTCTAGATGCATAGATGACTTATAGCCTTAAAAACCTGACTGGATCACCTCATCTCAAAGTTCCCCTCAGATATCAACTTAAATGTCATTGCCACAACTTCTCATTTGGTTAGGTGTCCCCACCATAACCCTCCAACACATGCTATTCTTTTTATCCTGATGGTTTCTTTACTGCCTGGCCTTCAAAAGGGCATTATGACAGTAATGGGAATAGATATGGGTGACACTGGGAAAGCACTGGGTTAAATTTGGTTTTAGACATTGGGTATTTTTGGGGTTTTGTTTTGTTCTCCTGGAATAATCATGTGTAGTTTTCCTATTTTCTTATTTTCTTCTCTTCTGCCTCTCACACCTAATTTCTCCAAGATTCTACCCTTGCTGCTGAACACGCTGGCTGTCTCCCACCCCTTGGCTCTGATGGAATGCCATCTGGGCAGACCCCTGGGGTGGGCATGGCTGGTGGGGCAGAAGGAAGAAGGCCTCCTTTTAGTTTCTGAATCTTCTTTCTTTAGCGTTTGTCTTCAGGGTCCTGACCCTTCCAGAAAAAAAGAAAGAAAGAAAGAGAGAGAGAGAGAGGGAGGGAGGGAGGGAGGGAGAAAGAGAAAGAAATCTCTAGACTTGTGTATTTAGACACACACATGTGTTTTTTCACATTCAGGGCAGAGCCACTGTGTGGCTGCTGCCTTCTCTGAGCCGCAGTTGCAGGAGGCATGGTGTTTTTAAGCAGGATGAATTGCTGTCGAGTGGCTGCTCTTCTGCACCCGGGGCCATCAATCTTGTCTTGAATGCTGGGCTGCCTGCTCAGGCTCATCTTTCTGGGGCAGACTTATTTACGGAGCCACGGCAAAGGTAATCTCACTCCCCCAGCCCCACGGCCAGGGCCTCTTGCAGCCACTCTTAAAAATAGCCCAAGACAAGGAGAGCCAGGGTCTGGTTACCTCCTGCACACAGGATCTGATCTCACCTCACCTCCTGCATCTGGCCGCTCAGCCTTTCTGGGTGCTGGGTCCTATCAGTCCCTCCTGCTCAGAGCCAGCTGTAGTTTCCGTTCACGGAAGCAGGGAAAGACACTGGGAGTAGAAAACCCTTCCCAGCTATCTTTCCCACCCAGTTGGGTGGGAAATCTCAACCTGGTAGTAGCGTGTCCATTTGTGGAAGGTGATAGGCTGTCCAAAGGGACAACGGTGTTCTTGGGCACAGGCCTGATGCCATGGGACATGCTGTGTTTGGGGTAACAACTGGCTTCCCCACCTTGCAACTTCCCAGAGTAGCAAACACCTTTGCCAAGTCCTGGAAGCTGGGGAATGCCCTCTGTCCCCATGTGCCATGCTGTTTCCCCACCTGCTTCTCTGAAGTCTGCCTGGTCAGGGGGTATAAACTGGCGTGTAGCTTGGCCTGTGGTCCCAGCCACAGCAGTCATTTCCTAGATGACCTTGGGGAGGCTTCATCCTGTGGTAGGCCTTGGTTTTCTCCTTTGTGCACTTAGAGTGGATAATTCTGGCTCCTGTCTTACCTCAAAGGGATGTGGTGGGATTGATTAATCAAACGGGATAAAAAGAGTCTAAAGTGATTCTGTCTGAAAAACAAGGGCTCTAGCACTGCAGTTACACATGGATTGGTGAGCTTGCTTCATTTCTTTTTCAAGCGTGTGCCTGCTGGAGTGGGTGAATGGGTGTGTTGGAGTGCGTCTGTGATGTGAGTGCGTGTGTGTGAGTGGTGTGTGCATGCATACACTTGTGGAGGGAGTGGTTTACCTCACTCACTAGTTGTTGACATGCGTCATTTTTCTGCCTCATGGCATCCCCACCCCTCCCCCTTTTGCTCTCAGATATGAAGGCTCTGGGCTCTCGTACAGACTTGATCTTGGAGTCCCTAAAGCTCCCTGGGGAGATGACTGGATGGCAGGTACAGGGGAGGAAATTAAGGCTGCAGCTAGCCATTTTCCAAAGACCTAAGCCATCAAGCTTAGCCTGGTGCCTCTGGCCTCCTGTCCCAGGGTTATCCCTGACCCGGCCCTTGCCCTCCAGCTGCATTGTAAGCTTCCTAATTTTACCACGTCCTTTCTCGCTGTCAGAACTGTGCACCTGCTATTCCTTCCCTTTGGGCCCATCCCTTTCCATTTCCTCCCTTCACAAGATACCTCCAGCCTTCCTTTAGGAACCAGCTTACACTTCTCTTCCCCTGACACCCAGGCCTACCATGAGGCCCCACCTTTCCCATCCTGTTTCAATGGTGGTGCACATCACACTTATGGTAACTGCTTACTTAGCCGTCTGTCTTGCTGCCTGATATAAGCTCCATGAGGACAAGACCCTTTCCATCTTATTCATAATTGCCTAGCACAGCGCCTGCCACCTCACTGGGGCTTGGTACATATTTGAATTAATCACAAATGAATGAATGAATGAATGAATGAATGAATGAATGATGGGTGAATGGGGACCTAGTACTCTGAATGCCTATGTTCATTGCATAGATGAACACACTCAGCTCCATTGTCCTGGGAGCCCCTCATCATCACCACCACCACCTCATGCTCATGGCCTTAAAGGGTTGTCTGGGCTCCTTGGTCTGTCCTGGGATTCAACAGGAGACCTTCTCTGAGCACCTGATCACGCTTCAGAGAAGGCAAAACCAAAAGCCCAGGTTTCTGAATACTTGCAGCTGGGAAAGAACTCAAAAGGGCTCTTGGGCAGCCTCTGGGGGGAGGAGACTTCCCCCAGCACACCTGCCTGGGCTGGTGGCGCCAGTGGCATCTTGAAGCTCATGTTCATCTCTCTTCCCACTGATCCAGGTTTGAGTCAGACTCAGCCAACTTCCAGCTTCTCCCCTTCCCTCCTCTGTCCCCACCTCCCCTCCCAGGTTGGGTCCTGGCCCCCATCAGCAGGGTGGGGGTGGGGCCGCTCTTCCCAGCTCATGCCGCCAGCCTCCCAGGCGAGCTATCCCTCTCGGGGCTCCCTCAATGGTGGCAGTGGGTTTGGAGGAAGCGGGCTCGCTGCGACTGACGTCTCCACCTGCTGGCCATCCTGACCCTTGCTGCATCAGCTCTCTGTCCCCGCCGCTACTGCCGCTGTTACTGCTGCTGCCGCTGCTGCTGCCGCTGCAATATTTTATATCCAAGGACCCCGAGACCCCGGGTAGGAAGCATGCCCAGGCAGATGGCACTGTGCGCTGCTCCCGCAAGGATCTACTCCTGTTGGATGCTCCGAATAAGTTTCCCCTGAGAAAAAGTCTAAGGGGGTGGGAGCTAACCCTCTGACTGTGTTCCTGTCTCCCTCAGGGACCCTTCCATGAAGACTGAGGCAGGCATAGCTGCTGAGAGCCTGCTGACATGACATCAGCCACGGAGATTGAAAATGTGGGCAACCAGCCACCATACAGCCGGATCAATGCCCGCTGGGATGCCCCGGACGATGAGCTGGATAATGACAACAGCTCAGCCAGGCTCTTTGAGAGGTCCCGGATCAAGGCCTTGGCAGGTACCGTTTGGGGCTGTGGGGGTTAGGGGAACTGTTTCCACAGTCCTGAGGTTCACTGCCCTCCTTGCCTGTGGTGAATCCCCTGTGTGCATTGGCGTGAGCCCTGGTGGTGATGGAGACGTGGTTGTGTGGCTCAGAGAGGCTGGGCCCCCTCGGGAGGCAGCATGGGCTCAGGCGGCCTCTGCTCCCACGTGGCCCCTACTTCTTCCCAGGCGGGAGGTGATGCCAGGTGGGCCCTGCTCTTTGCCTCTGTCCTGAATGACCTGTGGCCAAAGTCAAAAGTAAGAGAAAGTCTGGGTGAAGGAGTGTCTGAGGGGCTGGACCACTGAGCAGAGGAGCGTGGGGCCTCTGTATGCACCTCAGTCTCCTGCCTGGTCCTGGATAGAGGAATTATCGTCATCCTCTCTGTGGTCCCAAAAGGAAAGAGTGATTTGATGGGAAATTGAGAACAGATAATATCCTCCCCACACTGCCTCAGGAAGGAGGCTTTTCTGGACTAAACCTCTTATCCTTAAACTGGAATTAGATTTTTACTTAGAAGGTTCATAATAGATGTGTGTGTGTGTGTGTGTGTGTGTGAGTGTGACAGAGAGAGATTAAATCTCCAGTAGAGATGGCTTCTCCTCCCCCTGCTGGCTGAGATCTGATTCTTGAGATTTTTTTCCCCCACTAACTCCTGCGACCACTGCCTCCCTGGAGCTTGGCCCAAGGGAGCCATATTCTGACCCTAAGTCCTTGACCAATAGAGAGTTTGAGTTATATGGGGTGATGGGTGGGTGTGTATGGGGGTAAGGGGGGATTACTTCACCTGCTCTACCAACGATCGGCCCAAGTCAGACTTGTTTCCCCCATCATTGCTTGTTCCCATCTTCTGCCTTATAAGAAGGGCACAGCCTCTGCCACAAACACTTTCTGTAGTGATTCTCCCACCGTCCTCACTGCTCATGGCCCTGTCTGAATTTCATGGCAGTACTCTTCCAACTTCCCTCTCTCCACTCTGCTCCCAGACCCCTTGGTCTCCAGCTGACCTTGAGGCATGAGCAGGGGCTAGACCCCTCTGAGACCATAATGACGTTTTACCTCAGGAATGTCTGGGTTTCCCATCCCCATAAAAGGATTGGGGTGTCTCATCCCCTTGTCATGGTAGGGAATCCACTCAGGTCTCAGCTATCACTATTTGTGTCCTTGTTCTTTGCAAGAAACTCCCTTACTTTTCCCTTCATCACCTCCTCACCACCCCCTACCCCACAAAACCCTTCCATGGTTTTCCTTGGGGACATATAATAGCACCAGCCCCTTGCTTTTGCTTATGTAATTTTAACCTCTTTAACCAAACTTGGAACCCTTGCCTTTGCCAGTCTGGTTTTACCTTCTTTATATCTCATGCTGGCTGGATCTGGCTGCAGTGACCCTAGTGAGATGGCTGGAGGGAGACGGGTACCGTATTCCATAAGGTTTGTCAAAGGACAGTTTAAGGAGTTGGGACTGTCTTTTGTGCAGGGATCGTTTGATCTATTTCACAGATACCCTGTTTTTTTAAGAAACCAATGTAAATTCCATTTTAACAGTTATTTATTGTACTCCTACTATGTGTAAAGCTAAACCCCTGGCCAGACATGAAAGTAGAGGGGAAACCACAGAGGTGAATTCTGCATAGTACCTGTCTCTAAGGAGTTTATGATCTATTAGGGATAAATGAACCGTGTTCATAATTAGCATGAGTAGAACTGGAGAAGGGCTGTAGGAAAGGCACATAATTAAATAGCAATGAGAGCGCAAAGGAAGAGATGGAGGGAGAGTCAGGGACTCGTTTGTGGAGGAAGTGGCTTTGGGCTAGGGAATGAAGGGTGCATGTGACTCTGACAGGCAGATGGGCTAAGGGTTTGCCCACTTGGCTTATGTGTGTAGCCATGTCTGATGGGCAGCCTGGGAGACTAGTGGAAATGGATTGATCAGGTTAGTCAGGAAAGAGACTCCTCCACCTTGCCTATTCTCACCAAGAGCATGCTTCTTATCTACTGAAGAACCTGAATGCCCCCCGGGGAGAGAGGAACCGCAGAGTATAAAGTTGCACGGACCTTAACAATTCAGAGCATCTGGCTAATAAGTAAACATGGAAGTCTGCAGGATTTTTACAAACAAACAAAAACCTAAGCAGTTTACTGACTTTCCTCTCCTGAGAGTCCACTCTGAGTGACCTGTGAGAGAAGCTAAAGCTTTGAGAAGGTCCAAAGTAGAGTGGCTGGATGGACCTATTCTGGTGGGTAGGCAGAGCAGAGAAAGGAAGTGTCAGTCTCCTCCAGTTTTAGCTTCTTGACATTATCTTCAGTATTAGGTAAGGGGTCAACCTTTCCAAAGAGGCTTAGGGAGCAGAAGCTAGCTACGTTTGGTCCCCCTCATTTCATCATGGTTCACAGCCACTCCCTCCCCCAGCCTAACAGTATTACAATAAGGAAGACATTGGTTCTGTGTTTCTTTTTTCTTTTCTTTTCTTTTCTTTTTTTTTAAGATTTTTATTGGGGAATTGGGGGAAGGGGAACAGACAAATTGCTGTCCTTTTGTTCTTCAGATTAGTTGTGGAGGACTTTGCTTCACTGGCCCAAGTTGGCACCATCATTGCGCTCTTCCTGGGCAAGGCAGATGAGTTGCCAGCTTCTGGATGGCCGCTCACGGCGGCTTGAGGGCCGCTCACGCTGCTGCTGGCTACACACGGTAGCCCATGGCAACCCACTGCAGCAGGGGTTGCAGCCTACCCCGTCACCGGTGACTCATGGCAGCCCAACTCCAGGTTGAGCTGTTGTTCAGCATCTTAGCTGTGGAGGGCAGTGTCACTGGCCCTCATATGTGGGATCCGAACNCAGGGAGATAAACCCCTTGAGCCTGATGTTTCTGGCTTCCAATGTGGTCCTGAGAGCACCTTTTCTCCTTGCAGATGTCTTCACAGAAAACCCTGATGAGAAATCCATTATCACCTACGTGGTGGCATTTTACCACTACTTTTCCAAGATGAAGGTGCTGGCAGTGGAGGGCAAGCGTGTCGGCAAGGTACCAAGCGGTCTCATAACCCGTGTCACCTCATCTTCCTGTTTGCCACACCCAGACCTTGACAGAGATGCCCGCTTTTCATCCTAACAGCTTCGTGCCTGGGCTCCAGCTCCAGCTGGCGGGGGTGTGAGGGGGGGTGTAGGTCACCCCCACCAACTCCCTCTGAAGCCCAGCTAATGGCTCCTATGCTGAATTCCAAAGCAGGTTGATGGTCTCTTCTGAAAGATGCCATAGCCCAGCTCTGAGCCCATCTTCCACCTGCAGGCCCATGTCTCATAAACATTCCCATAGGAACAAAACAGGCTTGCATTTGTTGGTTTATTGTGGTTTCAGGCCTCTTAGGCTCCCATGGTATACCAGGAACCCACCCCACAGACTCTCATATCAGATTCCTTTCCCCTACTGGGTCCTCAGCTCCTCAAGGGTGGGGGCCATTTCTCATTCATGTTTGTTTGCCTGGTGGTTAGCAAAGATAGTGCCCGGAATCCTTCGATTCCTAATATGCATTTTAAAATAAACAGCGGCCCCACAGTGGCTGGTGTCCTGGCACAGTGAGATTCCTCATCTTTTATAGGGTTAGGGGAAGGGAAAGCTGCTTCTGAACCTGAGCAGGTCCAGCTCCCAACTGATGCTGCCAGTGCACTTCCAGCCCACTCCTTCTGCCTTAGCAACAGTCTTGGGCTCAGGGAACACACCTAACATAGGGCTCTTGAGGAAGAGGAGGACCACCTCCATTGTCATCCTTGTCAGTGGAATCATTGTTTTTCTAATGAGGCTGAGTGACAAGGCGATTCCCTAGGTAATTGACCACGCCATTGAGACAGAGAAGATGATTGAGAAGTACAGCGGGCTGGCCTCAGACCTGCTTACCTGGATTGAGCAGACCATCACGGTTCTGAACAGCCGCAAGTTCGCCAACTCCCTGACCGGCGTCCAGCAGCAGCTGCAGGCCTTCAGCACCTACCGCACCGTGGAGAAGCCGCCCAAGTAAGGCCTTGGCACGTGGGAGGGTGGGCATCAGTGGCTGAAAACCTGGCTGCTGAAAGGTAGAGCCAGGCGCTGGGCATTCGGGAGCGTACCTGGGAGGCATATTCTAGAGGCTAGAGAGCTTTGCACCTGTCTTCCACTTTATCCCCTCCTGGCATCCCTGCTCCCGAGCCGTCAGCCTATAGGAAATGGGCATGGAGGAGTAACCCCCAACTCATAGCCAAAGAGAGTACTTTCCCAGCTGCCTGAGGGGGAGCAGGAGTGAAATCTCAGGCTTCTGAGTCTTTTCAAGGAACCTGTGCTAGAAAGTTCCTTTCTCATCTGTGCACTGAGCTGCGGGTTTCTGGTAAAAGTCTCTGTATTCTCAGCCCCACAGCTGTCTGGATGAGACCTTGTTGATCATCAAGTATGTCCTTCTTTTTCTCCCCCTTCTGTCTGTCACTGCTCATCAGCCAAGCACTCAGCCTGCCTCTCAGGACCTCTGCTCCAGCACAGTGTGTGGAAGGCCTGGGCATGTGCACATGCACACATGCACAGACACACAAACACACACCTATGTGCACACATGCACATATGCACAGACACACACACACATAAAAACATGCACACACAAACGCGGGCATTGCAGCTCACCTGCCATTAGCTTGTCCTGCTCTCCTGAAACAGATTTCTAGCTCATCGGTGGTACCCTCTGCCTTGTTCCTCTCCCCCGTCATTTCCCACTCTCTTCATTCATGACTCTCAAACAAGGAAAGGTGAGACACTGAGCCGAGACTGTACTATAAACAAGTGTCTGATTTCTGGTCTGACACTAACCCACTTTTAAAGACTTGAATTCAANGCCACTCAGCCGGCCCTGGTTCTGTGTTTCTTATACGATGGTGGTGATCTGCTTTGTAAGTATATGTGGCAAGGTTGGAGAGATTGGCCTGGCCTTTTCTTTCTGAAATTGAAGGTTCTGGGGTGAGGAGGAAATGTCACAAGACCCAGATTCAAGTCCTGGTTCCACTCCTAACGCTACTGCTGTGGAGGATGGCTGGAGCAGGAGGATTTCCTGTTTTATAAAATCAGGGCAGTCGTACTTGCCTAAGGTTGTTGAGAGCATCAAGTAAGATAAAGTTTATGGAACTTGTTTAATAATAAAATACTAGGTGAACGTTTGTATTTACAAGAAATCGTTTTAGTAACATCTTTCTGTCCCTTCTCTTCTACAGCTTCAGACATTCCATATCATTACCTCAGCCATTGTCCCAGTTAACCCTCAGCCTCCCTTGCCGTAGATGGCTTGAGCTGGAAGAAAGAGCCAGGGACCAGGGAAATTAGGCTGATACTTGTGCTCAGAGCTCTTGGCTGGATCCCCAGAGACCCAATGCCCATGGGGATGAAGCACAATGCTGTGAGGTCTTTCTCCTTCAGGCCATCCAGCCAGGATCCTAGCTGTGCCTCTGCCATTGGCTGGGGGACATGGAAGGCCCAAGAAACCAAAGGATGAGCCTTGTTAGATGCTTTTCCTGGTGTGACACCCGCTCTGGGCCCTTTTCTACTTAGTGACCTGTGGTTAGAAGACTCGCATTTAGTTAACTGGACTCCACCTTTTCTGCCTCTTCAGTCAACTTTCTCTCAGCTCCAGTGGAAATAGCCCCTGTCTTGCCATTTGTTTGTTTGTTTGTTTGTTTGTTTGTTTAAATATTTTATTGGGGAGTTGGGGGAGGGGAACAGCCAAGTTGTCCTCCAATCTTAGTTGTGGAGGGCGCAGCAAGCTCAAGGTGCTGTGTTCAATTAGTTGCAGGTGGGCGTAGCCACCATCCCATGGGGGAGTCGAACCAGTAGCCTTGTTGTTAAGAGCACNCCTGTGAGTCTACCGGGCACTGCACACAGGTGACATCTCTTGGTTGTGTAGATGGTGCTCAGGCCACAGCCCTCTTGAAGTGCTGTGAGCAGTCAGATCTATTAGGCTGGCCTCAGCGTGGGGACCTTGCTACCGCTGATCCTCAGGTGCAAGGTGAAGGATGTAGAAGTGAGTAGTTCCTGGCGTACACGCGGAAATGCGAAAGTACCCAGTTACCTGGAGCTTGGATCCTGGGTTCCAGACAGCCATCCTGCTGCCAGTTCTCATCTACACCTAAAATCCTCCTGGAGCCCAGCCTTTCTTCCCCCCTCAGAAGCATCTGGCCTTTGGGACTTGTCAGGAGAGCCAGCTCGTTAGGACTCATTAGGACTCAGGTGAAAGTTCCCTTCAGTGCAATATGTTCTTATGTGGATAATGCTGCTTCTAAGGTTTTATTGACTCAATGAAAAACTGACTAAAGAGCTAGTCAGAAGCCTTCATCTCTTGCTGAACTAGGGAGAGCGTTTGGTATCGGCTGGTAAAACTTGCTATCTACAGGAATTCCCAGAATACTCCAGTTAGCCGTTCCCCTAGAGGAGCAAACAATAAGCAAATGCTGTGGGAACTGTGTTTTCCCTGGTTCGTTCTATAAAAATTCAGCCCCCATTAGGTCTCAGCTGGTGAGTATGATAGATGCTTCAGCAGGGAAATAGACCTACAGATGTTCTTCACTTTTGATTTTTAAGGGAAATATGCTCTGGTGTCCAAGCTCCAAGATGCCAGAGTTCCACGTTGACGTCAGCAAACAATTTGGCTGAGGGGATCTGGACACTCATCTCCCTATCTCTGTTTTCTCAACAGGTTTCAGGAGAAGGGGAATCTGGAAGTCTTACTTTTTACCATCCAGTCCCGGATGAGAGCCAACAATCAGAAAGTGTACACGCCCCATGATGGGAAACTAGTGTCTGACATCAACAGGGTACAGTAGCGTTTTCCGTTACCTGTTGCCAATGGCTTGATTGAGTTCTCGGTAAAGGCACGGGGAGTGCTCACTGGAGAGGGGTAAAGCAAGCCACTTTCTGTGCTGGCAGTTTGGGAGTGCTCTCTGAATCTAGTCCTGAGAGGTCAACCTCCACCCATCCATTTGTCCCCCTTCAGATGCCCAGAGTCCATTTTTGGAGCCAGTCTTTATAGCTTAGTCTCTACTGAACCTTGAAGTTTCTTGACGTGTGGAATATTAAGTAATAACAGAAGGGAAATACCTTCTGATCCTTGAGAAGGTTCTCATTAAATGGAGGTAGCCATTTAGTCATTAAGCATTTACTGAGCACCCACACAAGCAAATAATATTGGATTAGGTCAAAGGTCCAAGGCAGGTTTTAGGGGAAGAGGGTGCTGGGAGGTCGTGACCAGGGCTCCCTGAATCTGGACATGAAAGCCAAAAGGCTCTGCCTGGATTCCTGAAATCACTCAGTGTTAGGCAAAAGGTGGAACCCCCAAAGCTAGGTATTCCTCGTATGCCCCAAGCACGCTCCCCTGTCTCTGGTGCAGGCCTGGGAGAGCCTGGAGGAAGCCGAGTATCGGCGGGAGCTGGCCTTGAGAAACGAGCTCATTCGGCAGGAGAAGCTGGAGCAGTTGGCCCGGCGCTTTGACCGAAAGGCCGCCATGAGAGAGACGTGGCTCAATGAAAACCAGCGCCTCGTGGCCCAGGTGATGGGGGACACACTTAGGGATGACAGGAGAGGGGAAGCTTTCCAGAGCCCTCAGCAGTCAGCTGGGCTGGAGTCCGAGCTGGCCTCTCAGTGGCAGTGGACAGGCCTCTCCACAGGCCTGGCATCCCAACTCCCCAGGATTGGGTACATCAAGATTTACATCTGAGGAAGAACTCACCAGGACTTATTAATTCTCATTTTTAGGGAAAGAGCCTCAATCCAAAAATGGCCCCCAAAGTTGTCTTATTTGAACCAGTAGCATCAACTAAAGCCAGGGGTTCAGGCTGACATTAGACGATGGTCCTCCCGGGATATGATGAAAACGGTGCATCTCGTGTGTGTCAGATGTGCCTTTTGGACTCTGGCCTCTAGGACCGTGTCATATTTAACTAGCTAAAAATTGACCCCGGGACTGATGGTCCATGACTGCATCTGTTGCTTCCCACTTGGAGCTTGGAACCAAATTAAGTTGCATCCAGAAAGGGGCAAGCTGGAGAGAGTGCATGCACCTTAGAGAGCACAGAGTAAGCCATCTGTTTATAGCTGCATGGTTTCCAATTCAGAAGCCCCTGCTTGCCCGAAATCAGGCAGGTCCATTCAAGGCAGGGTGGTGAGTGCCAGCAGGTGGAGAAAGGGCTCTACTAGTAATATATGCACAGCATACCTACACATATGGCACAGTGAGTAAAATCTTGAGCCTCTTTTAAAGGTCCTTGTGAGACATTTAGTCTTTGGAACTTGGCTCCGATAAGAAAAGCTGAAAAAGAGGGCAGAGCTACATCTTTGGGAATAGTCTTTCCCATCCAGCAGGTGTTCCAAAGGGACTTGTTGCGTCTCTGCATTTGGGGATTAGCCAAGGGGAGCCTGGCTGAGCCACCTGTGTTTCTCCCTGTGGGGCAGGATAACTTTGGGTACGACCTGGCAGCCGTGGAGGCCGCCAAGAAGAAGCACGAGGCCATTGAGACTGACACAGCCGCCTACGAGGAGCGGGTGAGGACCCTGGAGGGCCTGGCCCAGGAGCTGGAGAAGGAAAACTACCACGACCAGAAGCGCATCACGGCCCGCAAGGACAACATCCTACGCCTGTGGAAGTACCTGCAGGAGCTGCTGAGGTCCCGGCGCCAGAGGCTGGAGACAACCCTGGCCCTGCAGAAGCTCTTCCAGGACATGCTGCACAGCATTGACTGGATGGATGAGATCAAGGTGGGCCTGGGGCCGCCCATCCCTCAATACCCCCATGCTCACTCACCTCAGGCCTCAGCGCCAGCCCTGCAGTTAGGCTTCCTTAGACTCTTCCCAGCCAATCTTGTCCCTGAGTCAGAATGGAGAAACTGAGGCAGCCCAGGGTCTGGCTGCATCTGCCTATCATCACCTGCTTGGCTCACTCTTGCTCCAGACAAGTTACCAGCCCAGGTCCACCCGATCCCCACGATCAAGAAATCTTGGGTTCATAGTAGCATAGGCAGCAACCTGCAGGGCCTGGAGACTCAGGCCCTGGGTAATCACGATTTGACTCTGGTTAGAATCCAGACCTCCCAGCATAGGAACAACCAGGAAGCCTGAATCTCCTCTCCCTCCACTGCAGAGCTCTCAGCTGAGCATATACAGAGAGTGACTGTGGAGCTTTCTAAAAATACACAGGCCCCCACACCTGGGGCAAATACGGGAGATAGAGTGAGGGGCTCAGGTTTCTGGAAGATGATCCAAGAATGACTCTGATGGGCACCCCACCATAGAAACTCCTGCTCGGTAGCCTCTCCCATGCTGAGCAGCAGCCGTTTTCCAGCTGTGTTAATGCACCCCAGGCCCAGATACCATGGACATCCCCTTTAGAGGGGTCTCTTCCCCAAGTGTGTAGGCCTCTTCACCTCTTCTCATTCCCTCCACCCTGTCTGTCCTCTTTGCCAGGCTCACCTCTTGTCTGCTGAGTTTGGGAAGCACTTGTTGGAGGTTGAGGATTTGCTACAGAAGCACAAGTTGATGGAGGCTGACATCGCCATCCAAGGGGGGAAAGTGAAGGCCATCACCACTGCCACCCTGCCGTTCACTGAGGAGAAAGGTGAGACTTGAGTGTCTGCCTGGTGAGGCCTCTGAAGCCAGATCCCATCCTCTGGTGCAGCGCCCCAGCGCCCCAGCTTGGATAAATCCCCTACCTTTAGAATTCTGCTTCTTTCATCAATTGATGGTGCAGGAAAGAAGCTTGAGGGATAGCAAAATTTCTCCAGAGACCGGACAACTGCTTTGGCAATATATGACCAGAAGCCGTGTCTAAGCACCAATAAGGCATCATCCATCTCTCACTCTCTCTGCTAGTTGAGGTTACAGCAGAGACATTTACGTTTACAGCTTCAGGTCTTAAATAGGAGACCTTGTTGCATCCTTAAAGAATCATCTTGAAATTTGTGTCAGGGTTTTTTTTAAAACAAAACAATATCACATTTCTACTGAAAGCTGACCCAACTTTTAACCTCCCTTATCCCTGAAGTTTTAGTGGGAACTAGTTACAAGGAACTTGGCCTGCCCTCTGAGCACCTGGAACCCCCTGCATCCGTTTCCAAAGCTCCAGTGAGATGGCAGATTCTAGATTGTGTGGGTCTAGCCTGGCAACCGATCCGAAGCTTGCCCATAAATGAAGCCCTTACCCTTTTCGTCTTCCTTCCTCTCATTCTTCCCAGGGTACCAGCCTTGTGATCCCCAGGTCATCCGAGACCGTATCAGCCACCTGGAGCAGTGCTTTGAGGAGCTGAGCAACATGGCCGCTGGGCGGAAGGCCCAGCTGGAACAGTCCAAACGGCTCTGGAAGTTCTTCTGGGAGATGGACGAGGCGGAGAGCTGGATCAAGGAGAAGGAGCAGATCTACTCCTCCCTGGACTATGGCAAGGACCTGACCAGTGTGCTCATCTTGCAGCGCAAACACAAGGCATTTGAGGACGAGCTCCGCGGGCTAGACGCCCACCTGAACCATAGCTTCCAGGAGGCCGAGGCCATGGTAGCACGCAAGCAGTTTGGGTACCCGCAGATCGAGGCCCGAATCAAGGAGGTGTCTGCCCAGTGGGACCAGCTAAAGGAGCTGGCTGCCTTTCGCAAGAAGAACCTCCAGGATGCTGAGAACTTCTTCCAGTTCCAGGGTGATGCAGATGACCTAAAGGCCTGGCTGCAAGATGCTCACAAGCTGCTCTCGGGCGAAGATGTGGGGCAGGATGAAGGGGCCACACGGGCCCTGGGGAAGAAGCACAAAGGTTTCCTGGAGGAGCTGGAGGAAAACCGTTTGGTGATGGAGCATCTGGAACAGCAGGCCCAGGGCTTCCCGCAGGAGTTTCGGGATTCCCCAGATGTGACCAATCGGCTGCAGGCCCTCCGGGAGCTCTACCAGCAGGTGGTGGCCCAGGCGGACCTGCGTCGGCAGAGGCTGCAGGATGCCCTGGATCTGTACACGGTGTTTGGAGAGACAGACGCCTGTGAGCTGTGGATGAGTGAGAAGGAGAAGTGGCTGGCCCAGATGGAAATCCCAGACACACTGGAGGACCTGGAGGTCGTGCAGCACAGGTCAGAGCCAGCCCTTTCTTCCTGCCTCCCCGCGCCACGACCTGTACTCCACCGGCGCCTGGTGTGGAAGCAGCCTCTAGATCAGCAAGGGACAGGCCAGGGGATGCCTTTTATTTTATTTTATTTTATTTTATTTTATTTTTTAATTGGGGGAGGGGAACAGTGTTGGGGAATTGGCGTGGGGCGGAGGGTTTAGCGCGTGGCCTCTAAGTTCAAGGTGCTGTGTTCAACCTTAATTGCGGGTGGGCATAGCCACCATCCCATGGGGGAGTCAAACTGTCAGCTTTGTTGTTAAGAACACATGGTCTATCCACTGAGCCATCTGGGTGGCAGCTCAGCTCAAGGTGCCAAGTTCAGTTTTAGTTGCGGGCAGGCATAGCCCACCATTGAACAGGAAGTTTTGTTGTTAGGAGCACGTGCTCTCACCAGCTGAGCCATCCTGCCACCTGTTGGCAGCTCAGAGGCAGCTCAGCTCGGGCGCAGCTCACTGGCCCATGTGGCAATTGAACCGGCGGCCCTGTTGCTCAGAGCTCATGCTCTTAAGNATGGGCTCCCATGACATCGTGGACGGCAACCACCGCCTGGTCCTGGGCCTCATCTGGACCATGATCCTTCGCTTCCAGGTGGGTTCCTGGGGTGGGGGCGTAGAGTGGAGCCTCTCTGGGCCACACAGGGCTTGGGAATCTTATCAAAAGGTGAATAAAGTGTGAGTGTTTGCGCACATCCTGGGAGGCTAGAAACCTGTTCTGTGGGACATTGCTGGTAGGAAGGCGCGATCGCCCTCTGCATCGCCAAATTGCTGAAGCTCAGGGTGAGCCGTTCAGCCGAGAGTGCAGTCTTTGAAGGAGGAGGTAGAATTTAGTAGCTGGGTTGACATCTGGCTGGAAGATCTGCTTTTTGTCTGCTTCCCCCTGTGTGTGTAACTTCTTGGTTTTGGATCTAGTTTGATTCAGAAATTGCAAAAACAGTACAGAAGATCTGCTTTTATGTTTTTTCTGTCAGAAACTTCTCTCTTCCTACCCTGAAATTCAAGGTTTATTTTTTTTGTAAGGAAATTTAGGAAGGAAACGGGGCCTCCCGCCTGCGGGTTTGTGGACAGAAAAAACCTTGGAGGAGGAGGGAAGGGCAGGGACGAGAAGGAGAGCACTTGGCTCGCAAAGTGACGGGCTTCCGCCCGTGGGCTTGGGTGTCCTGTCTAATTGTGTATAATTAATAAGAGCAGAACTGGGGAGAATGAAAAGGCAAGAGAAGCTCCTAATCAAAACACAGTATCTTCCAGCATTTGTGCTGTTCACGCTGCCTCTCCGGGCTTTGTTCCTCCTGGGGAGGAGGCTGGCGTCTTGTCGTTTATTCTCAGCATCCCGTCAGAGTGATCCAGTTAGAACCATTTCGTGTGACATGAGGAAGCCATCCCTGTGCATTGCCACTGACTAAGACAGGGAGACAGGCCAGCAGGACCCAGGGCCTCAGGCTGTGGTGCTGTGGTGTTGCTGCAGGGCTGGCAATGCAGATGGATGGCTCAGGAGGAGGAAAGGAAGAGAAAGCCCCCCAGGGAGAGCAGGAAAGCACTGAGCAAGATGCAAATCTAATTCCTCTCCCTCTTGTTCCTGCGCCCCCAGATTCAGGACATTGTTGTTCAAACTCAGGAAGGTCGTGAGACACGTTCGGCGAAGGATGCATTGCTGTTATGGTGTCAGATGAAGACGGCAGGGTATGCCCTGGGAACCAGCCACTGCCACGTTTCCCCACCGCCCACCTGGTCCCCCGAGCACTGCCATCCCCAAGGGATGTGACATCATCACCCAGAACTATAGCAGCTTCAACGTCAATGATGCAGAGTCTATCCTGGCCTGATTTCCTGAGGCCTGGAATATAGGATTCTTTTCCATAGTTGCCTGGATCAGACTGTGGGGTCTGTTGGGTGTGTGAGTCTCTTGGGCCCACCTTACCGGNAAATTAAAGCCATCTTGTTATTCTGCATGGAAACTGCCACATTAGTATACAAATACCTGACCTCTCTCCAGAATGAATTACTCTAGATTTGAAACTGCAAATCAGCCTGAGTAAAGTGAAGAGGGAGGTGGGTAAGTAAACACTGCAGAGGCTTCTGGAAGGAGGTGGATTTGACCTTGGCAATGCCAAGGAGAGAGCTGTGGGCCCAGCAGGAATATTTGCCCAGTAGGTCCTTGGGTAGATGTTAGCCTCTAGAGATGGTAGCACTTCGTGAGGGTCAATGTTAGGTAGCCATGAGGCTTCTTTCTGAACAGGGGGCTGTCCTCTGCTCACCTTACTACTTCTGGATCTGCTTTGAAAGATTAGAGGAAGGGGAACAGCTGAAAAGGCCAAGGTCCTGTCCCTCCAAGAGGTTCCAGCCTTGGTATTTCTGTAGAAAAGCTCCCAGTGTCTCCTAGAGCCACCCTCATTGTCACTCACACCCCATTTCCTGTCCTTCCCCTTTTCATACTGGGAGCCATTTGGTAAACATTTGTGGCATCTGGATTGGGGATGAAGCACTGCAGGCAGCAGGGAATTTACCAGCCAGAGTGCCTGCCCTCTGTGCTCTCTCTCCTCATCCCAGAGGAGGCCTCTGCCTGCCTGCTCACCCCCTTGCATCTGGTTGTGTACCCCAATGACTCAGGGTAGATGTGGCCCAGCTGGGAGAGGAGGAATGCAACTGAAAGGTACCCTGAAAAGAGAGACCCTGAGCACTAGCCTCCCTCCCCTGCCTCACACATGCATGCAGCTTGGCATCCCAGCTCCTTTGCTCACAGAAGCTTTTGGGAGGTTGCCGTGCAGAGAGCAGTCCATGGCCTCCTGAGGAGGCCTGTGAGAAGGAGAGGGCCGGACATGCCCTTCCTCCTCTTTTCTGGCCCTTTGGCCTATTGAACTATTACTGAGGGATAGGCTACACAGAGTTGCCCTTTTCAAATAAATGTACAAAATTGTGTAGCCCACTCTGCAACTGGAATCCAAGTAATTGTTTCAAACTAGAGGGATACCTCCTTTGTGCATTCTTTTTGTAGCCTTACTAGAAATGAAATGAGGCAGAGGGATGAGGTGGTTTGAGGACAATTCAGAGAATGCAACAGGGCAGCAGATGCAATGCAGGCTTTGTCCCTGTGCTCTGAAGCACATAGTTGCTGCCAGTTTGAACCTTGAGCACCTTCTAGCCCCACTGTGCCCAGGCCCCAAGGTTAAGTTCTGTGACCAGTAGGTATTCCATCAGCCTTAGGATAGTGGCCCTCAAACCCTGCTGCTTCCTGCCCACCCACCTGGGCTCCCCACAAACTCCCCTGAGAGGATGCATGGGCTCCTTCCTGACTTTGGTGGAAGAAGATGATGCTTGGCTCTCCCTGAGCCCCTTTCCTCACCTGCCCCAGGAGGACCCTGAGCCCAGATGCCCCAGTTGCCTGAGAAGGGCTTTGTGGCTCCAGGGTGAATGATATCTTCCAGAGAGCAGGATTTCACCACACTCAGGTGGGTGGGAACCAGCAGCTTCTTAGCAACCTGTTAAGTTGACAAATTCAGATGCAGCTGCTGGAGACCAAGGCTGCAGGTGTTAATGGTCCCAATGTCCCTCCTAAGCTGCCTGTAAGAATAAAGATGGTGTCATTAATGAGAAGGTTTTTTTTAAATGTTTTCTCAGATTTCCAAATATGAAATGGAGTTTTATTTAGACATTATATATTGGGAAAACATACTATTCACGGAACTATCTGTAATCATCAACAACCATTTTAATGTACTGTCAGAAGAAGAAGGAAAAAAAAAACTGGCTCAGCAGCTTTCCCTTGGAGGTCAGCCATCATGAGTTTCTCTCCCTCCCCCGACACAGGTCACGGTACAGATAAACCAGCCAGTTACCTGTGCAGACAACCCTGCAATAGAGGCCAGCATGCCACCTGCCCTGTGTGGTCCTGCCCAGGACATAACACCTCCTCTCATTGTCCTCTCTCCCTTGATAAAAGCTGCTCTTCCTCCTTGAGAACGATTTGCAGAGCCAAGGCTGTTCCCTTTCTCTGGATGACTGCTATCTATCACCGTGAAGATGCTTGATCAAATATTAATACACTGAGGTTAATAATAAGACTCTATACTCTCCCCATGTGGTATCGTCTGAGGGAGCCATGTTAATAGCCTCCTCCATCTTTGGGACATTCCTGTGTGCTGTCAGCTTTGTTCCCAAGGGCAGGCTCTGACACCAGGCTGTGACTGTGCTCATGGCGCCTGGAAGCCGCCAGCACTTACTTGCCTCACCCCCTGTGACGGGCCCCCCTGCACGCTGCTTGGCTGCAGAGGTGCCAAGGGTGGTGTTTTCAGAGCTTCTGTAGCAATTGTTCTTTTTCCCTTTTTATCGTGTCACTGAGAGAGAATGACAAGGAGGCTGGTAGCAGCCGAGTCTCTGGGAGCGTTTTGCCTCCGAACCCTTTGGCCTTCAGACTCTGGAAGCTTGATCAACCAGGAAATCTCATTTTACAGCCTAGTGAGAGGGACGTAGATCAGATAATCACACATGTGTCTATGTACATACAGACATATGTGCATAATGACAGCTTACGACAAATGCTATAGAGATTTACTGAGAACTGGAAGAGTTTATAACATAACTCATAGTTTATAACTCACCCAAGGACAAGTAGGATCTTGTTTGAGTGAGCATGAGAGGAATGGTGGGTGGACATAGGAGGGGCAGGTAGGAGCCACATCACAGGGGCTCTTATAGTCCAGCGGTTCGCAACCGTCCTAATGCCGCGGCCCCTTAATACAGTTCCTCATGTTGTGGTGACCCACAACCATAAAATTATTTTCGTTGCTACTCTATAACTGTAATTTTGCTACTGTTATGAATCGTAATGTAAATATCTTTTTGTTTTCCGAGGGTCTTAGGCGACCCCTGTGAAAGGGTCGTTCGACCCCCAAAGGGGTCACGACCCACAGGTTGAGAACCTTGAGAACGGCTGTTATAGTCCATGGGTATCTTCAGAGTCCTGGCAGGAAGC